GTATGCTGTTCTGTAATTATAGGATATGACGGTGCATCCTACGACAGATTACCAATGTTAGTTGAAAGACAGCCGAAGAAACAGTACACCTAGAAGACATTCCGCTACTTAATTTGAGTCAATACTTCCAGGGATAGAGTTATGTTTCAACTCAAAGGGAACTACTTGAAAATGCCTTGAAACCAAGGCTCTCGGTTGATAGCCAGTTACCAAAGGCTCAGATCGTTCAGGTAATCTCTGGTTTCATTTCGCAACTTTTATGTGAAGACAAAAGGCAAGACATAAGTTTGGGGGGCGCTCGATTCACGCGCGACCCCAATAGAGCTCTTCGCGCATCGTTTCAGTATTTTTCTGTTGAGATGGACCGAATAAACTTGCAGTAGTCCACGGCTTCACCATGAATAGAGCAAATCTCTTTACTATGGCAAAAAAGCCCCTACGAGATTGAGAATTCACCTCATAGGTCAACAATTTACTTGTCATATGTTCAAAATAAGATTAACTTAAAATTTTTTGATCCTAGAAAACGCAATCCTTCTGTAAACGTGCATAGTTGGTCATTTCTTTACTTATTCTACCTATAAGTTCTTATTCCGTTACGATGGTAGGCATGAAGTTTTAGCGCCTTTTTTCCGATGACCTCATTATATTGACGCGTGAATCCCACCACACCCCATAAGTTTTGGTAGATCCAGATTCGGGATGCCAGATGCCACTTATCCAGTCTCCGTATGCTTTGTAGTGAATTACAATATAATGATTTCTGACCTATACGAAGCTTCGCAGTATGTGAAAAGTGGTGTTTTCATTTTTCCGAACGAATTTTCAAGTGACTAAGTGACATGGTATAGATGGGATATCCGGTTCACCAACAGGGTAGCCAATCCTGGATCCTTCTTCAACCAGATCACACTTTGGTAAGGCACCACATGGCACCGAACCGGTGAATGCTGAACGGGGATCGATAGCGGTTTATTATGATGAAAGAGGATTGATCGGAACCAAAAATTTTGCATTATCAAATATTCTCAGTTTTCGAGTTGTGCTCTTGTCTGAAAAAACTGGAAAAGAATGTATACACCAGTCAATAACTGCGTACGCCTTCCGTCCCTCCGGGATCGGTCAGTCGGTGCCAAAGTCGTTCCGGTGGATAAAGGGCTTTTACATTAGTAGGTCACTCCAATTCATGTTATAGGCCACAGAATCATACAGACGCCACTTACATATATTCGAATTCGTGGATGCATCCCGAAACAGGGTTGGTTAATGCCTAATTGTTATCGAGACATCGAAACTTGCCAAGTGTTTCGAAACGAATATGAAGTGAGCCAGAATGCAATATTTGACACTGTACCAAAATCGATTGGAGGAATAACGTACCCTTCACAGAGACAATCCGGTCTGGCTTTGTTACACGCCCTGAATCTCTGCCTAGTCCCACATGAACCGCAAGTGTCAGAGCACTTTGACCACTCTCTCCACTCAGCCCAAGTTGACAGTGAACATGACGGTCCCGTTGTAACCTAAATATTAATACGATTATTAAGCTTCTTTGTGACTGTTTCATAAGTTGGTTTTATTGGTATCCTCTAACTCCAGAAGGCTTCCCCTGACTGAGCGCAGCTGAGAATATCAATGTTCATAAGGAGCTTCATGATGGGCTCGATTAAAACATGAAAGTAATCCCTGGAATAAGAGTTTCCTACGCCAATCATCTATTATAGCTTTTTATTTTGAGCTTGGTAACATCTTCATTTAGCTCTCGTGCCTCGAGTTAGCTCTTGTGCCCATCATGCGTCCCATATAGTTTTTAATCCAAGTACATGAAAGCAATCTGCCTGGCTGATATTACGTTTCATTTGAATCTCTTATCTCTGACGCTAGCAATCGCGAAAACGTTCGAAACGGAATCATTGCTAGATCGGACATTATTTTCTTTTCAGATTCTCTAATTTGTATTTTGAAAGCATATCATTTCAAATTGCCCTGGAGCAAAGTGTCTACGGTAAACCTGTGGCTAACTTATGCCTGCATCACCTTGAATAGGATTAGGCAAGAGTAGCTCATTACATTACCTGATGGCTTTATAGAACCTGAGCAAATTGGAAAAAAAACAAAAAACAGAGGGGTTTCTCACCTCCGCAGATGGTGTGGTGATTTCTGTCGTTGTGGTCGTCGATGTCGTGGTTACTTTAAAACCGTGCGTCACATCAACCGTTCACATGGATTAAGAATGCTTTTTCAAGACAATATTACCTGTAGCAACGGCACAGCTCAAATTGTCAACGGTGACATTGGATGGAGAGACCCAAGTGGCTTGATCGTTGCACGAAAGGCTGATATTCGCCCTCGATTCCACTCGTATCAGTTCCTGGCCACTTGAGCTAATCAGAGCCACTTCGGAGACAAGCTGGAACTATTTTGCTGAACTAACATAGTTATCAATGTGGTCAAGAAAATTATGTCAAAGAAGTGAAGAGAGGCCCTGAAGAGGACTATCTCAAGAATTTTCTAAGGTTTTTGTGCAGTTATATGTGGAAGGATAGCAATTGCACAAAGATTTTTCTTGACCTAATTCTTAGCTCTCTTTCTAGAAAAGCCTCGGTCAATCTAAGATTTTGAACTCATTCTGTAGACTAATTATAACATTATCAATAGCTTTCAAGGGTTTCAACCGTTACATCTGGTGCTGAGCAAGAGAGGTCCACATTGATGCAGGCATCTGTATAAAAGGTGTTCATTGTAAGGAAACCATTAGTGTATCCTGGTGGTACGCTCGTCACTAACATACGATTGCAGTTCGAGCACGGTGCTAAAGTAAATCGTTTAGGTCCATTCAATGAAACGATATTTCATGTCTACTTACCAGATCCCATTTCAGTAGTGGTTGTGGAAGCTATAGTTGTAGTTGTAAACGGCGGTTCGGTAGCAGTACTGGATTTCCCTGAAACGAAGTGTGTTACTTGGAGTGCCTTTTCAGCAGCTCAACGTGCTTTCCCTCGTAACTCCACCTATCTGGAAAAACGGATACTGAGTATGCTCTCTTCTCTACGAAGTGGAAGTATGAAAGCTTCTTGACTCTCTTTTGATGGAAGGTAATGACGCTTACTTGTCACTCTACACGATGTTGTTGTGATTGCATCCTGAAGCCTCGTCCAATTCCCTCCCCGATCGCACGTCAACGATGTCGTAATTCGCGACGGAGCCGAAGCAACCACTATATTGCCATTGAAAAGTATCGTCGCATTCTCGTAGTTCTACAATTACTCGCATTACTTTTCAGCAAAGCGGACACCAGAATGTAAAAGCTGGTGCTGCTCTATAACTTGTACTTTGGAATTCCAATACAAGTCAGTACTTTTATCCTCCCAGAGAAGTGTGGTACCAATTAATCAACCCCGGGGGTATGGAAGCGTTGGTTGCCCCAGGCGGATATCGATCGCGGATTCGAACCCCTGGCCGTGCGTGTGACATTGTGCGCCACTTGCCACTACACCACCTCCGCCCGAATAAAAAAAATCAGATGAACCAATTCGTTCTAAGCTTTTTTTCAAATCAAATTGCCGTTGTTAACGTAATCTGGTGCAAGTGGTACGACTCCGAAGGAACCGGAATGTAGGGGTCCCGAATGTTGTCTATTATTGTACAGAGGCTCTCACGAGTCTCCGTGAACTGTTCAAAATATCGTAAGGGTTGGGACTGCTGAAACTCAATATTAATCGAGAGAGCTGTCGGATTTAAGCAAATAAACCCACTTAAGGACACAGCTCTAATCTACCTCTATCTCTAGCGCTTTTGGAAGATGGCTCAAAGGAGTAATAGTGATGGAATTTAACGCTACATATTTGTTGTACCCTCTGATAAATGGTCTAAATACTCTTACAGAAACTCACGGAATCAGCTGAGCATTTTATAACGACCACTCGACATCTGCTGAAATCTGTATAGTGATCCAAAATTAGTTGGCCGTTGGCATACTCTTGGCCTGCTGAATCCGACTGGCTAACTGGAACTGGTTGCAGATTGGCGCATTCGTTGCAAAGTGCTAAAAATAAGAGTTTTGGCCTATTTGATCAACTAAAACTGTTCTAAAATTTCGTACATGGGTTCGTAGTTGTCGTGGTCGTCGCAGTCGTTGATGTGGTAGTGGTCGTTGTTGATGGCATTGTGATGGTTGTAGGGACTGTAGTCGTGGTTGTCGTTGTGGCTGAATGATGTCTTCTCTCTCTTGCGCTTACAAGAACATGACTAGCAAGATTTTTATTTTGCTACTATGACTATGCACAAATAATCCTACCAATTTTGATAGCGCAAGACACTAGAGGCACGGCGTAGCCATTGGCTGTGGTCCACGTCATCATATCATTACAAGTGAGATTCGTTTTCAACGCCCCAATACCCTGTTCGAATACCGTACCACTGATCACCAGCGCGAGATCGTCGTCAGGCTGAAAGAAAGATGAACTAGAATGGGTGTGATTGGTTTCAACCTTGGTGGGATGCTGGCTTCATGTGGGTACCTCTCTAACCGTAATGGGAAGTGATGCGGTGGGTCGACCAAGCTCGATGCAACACTGTACTTCCTAGACAAAGTGGCTCTACCTCCTTGAGCATTCAGGCGTTGATCAATCCCTTTTTCGGGATGTGCTCTTTTATTCGATTTCCATTCAGATTCATGGTGTTTTTCTAAATGCGTGTGTGGTCTGCACAGTAACTTGCGGCGGCGAGCCGATGTAGGTTTTGGCGCTTTCACTCTCCCAGGCGGGTCTGATACCCATCTAGACAGCCCTTACAAGGAAGGTCTTTCAGGGCTTGGGACGTTTTTTGAAAATGATTTTTGCATGGTGTAGGGGCATGAGCACTGAGTATATAACTACGGTCCATTTCCGCTAAATGGCCTTCTGAATGCCAAAAAAGGAGTAAAAAATATTTTGCCAGAAATTGCCGTTTTAACTCACTAAGCGTCGTTCGTTTCAGTCATAGCGTCGACTGTCCGCACAGTAGAAGACGCCAATGGACTACTCATCGAAAATAACGTGGATGNATAACTATGGTCCATTTCCGCTAAATGGCCTTCTGAATACCAAAAAAGCAGTGAAAAAGATTTTGCTAGAAATTGCCGTTTCAACCCACTAAGCGTCGTTCGTTTCAGTCATAGCGTCGACTGTCCGCACAGTAGAAGACGCCAATGGACTACTCATCGAAAATAACGTGGATGGTAGCCAAAAAAGGGAGCCACATGTTGAAAAGTGCGGGGAAGTTTCATACAAGCTCTCCACGGTTGAGGTGCCAGAGGTGACGGATGGTGTGGTGTATAGCGATGGTGACTTCGAGGACGGCCGACTAGGATGGGATGATAGTTCGGATTTCTGAGGCTTTGCCCTTTTTGCGTTTTATGCTGCCACCTCCAGATTGGCTCCAGATTGGACCAAGGCCAACGACTTGTAGAGGTTATGTGCCTGACTGGTCATGGTCGTGACCAGGATCAGCCAGGCACATAACCTCTACAAGTCGTTAGAATTTGATGTATGGAGCACTATCAATGG